ATCTTTACTTTCACCCTTAGATAAATTTCCACATGGGGGGTTTTGGCCGCCGCTCATGTATTTTCGGATATGTGTTCCTGGATAACAACCCTGCAGTCCCTGCATACAAACCCTAAAGTAAAAAGGTTTCTGGTGGTTAGATGGGAGTACGGGAATATAATCCCTACATAACCCCTAATGAAAATTCCCTACTATCCCCCTGTAAGCACATTCCGGCCGGGTGTGTGGACACGGAGTTCTCAAGTTTCAACGGTGATGCTTTCGCATCGCTTCACAGGCAGGCATGTCCAGGCATCTGAGCCGGCGCTCGACACTAGACGTCCCTTTTATGAGGTTTGAGGTTAAGGTCGGTCTTGTGCGAGTAGGGGGCACCAATTTTTAGACAAACTCCTACATATCTTGGATGCCATGGTTGTCTTGGAATCCTTTTCGGATCTTTGAGCACCAGGGCCCATTTATCTTAAAGACGTTGGAGCACACCTTCTGGGTCGGTGTGCCATCCCAGAACGTTGACCCATCCTCTGCGTACTGGTTCGGAGAAAGGAGTGGGGGAACATAATTCTCATAGAATCCCTATATTTATGTGTATATATATATATGTGTAATATATTCCCTAATTCCCTACTCACCCCCTGTAAGTTTGGTGGGCGGATCGGGTCAACAAGATTATGCCACTCCTTGTCTCGTGCATCTAACTTAGTGGGGGTTCGTAGGGAATATATCTAATATATCTGTATATCTATATAAATATATATATACATATATGGGAACATACATATATACAATGTAGGGGTTGAATAAGGAGTATTTGAGCACTAGCAAGGCACATTAAATTGTTCTTTCAGAAAATCGCATGGAATGACCGCCCGTGTGTTCTTCCCGCAAACTTACGTGAGACAAAGAATGCGGCCTGGCAGCGTCCACATTTCGGAGGGCCAGGAAATGTCCCCTAATGTACCGAAGCGAAACGAATGATGACGATAGCTAGAATCAGGAAGGACTTCAGAAACCATAACAGCCACTTGGACTTGGTAAGATGGCTACAAGCAAGCAAAACATAACTAGCTTTGCTTCAACAAGCAAGCAAAGACGTTTGACATGTTATTGGTGGCTTGCAGGGAATGGAGCAATGGATCCCTGCCGTGATGCATATACAACCCCTTGTGATTAGGGCGCGGCGGGTTGAACAAATCCGAAAATGATGCCTACAGCAACCCCAGCGAATCATCGCTTAAGGCCCAAACTAACGAAAGGCGGCGCACCGCAAGGCCACAGCATGAGTTCAATGCGGACAGGCTTGCAGGGCAAAACCAATATAGGAATGTAGAGCGATAGTGGAGAACCAAATGGCACATGACATCGAAACTACTATATATAGGGTGCTGCAAGGAGTACACATGGATGGTACCCCGAAAGCCTGGAAAAAACCGCTCAGGCAGCGGTTTTTGCATGTAGCAGAAAAGGAGGATGAATCCCAAGAACTCCCCCCAAAACCTAAGCACCACGGCGTATGGTGCTTGGAGAAAACAGCAGCTGGCACGTGAGGGGTGTTGTTTTGTGGTTGAACCAAACAAGGTCACATTATCAGGAAATACCATACCCAAAAGGAGGATAGAATCTTACTGTATTATCAAGTACCACTCACGTGAAGTTCACTTGCCGAAGCAGCCACAGCAAGACCTGGTTTACAAACACACACACACACAAGAGTCCTTACCCTCCACCAAACCCACATGGAACCCCAATGTACCTTTAAACATTGGACTATATATATATATACACATTTTACTCGAGGGGGATGGGGCTCCACAAATTCGGGGACGCTTTGGGAGGGTGCTCGGTATGAGGCTGATCGTAGATTTGGGGCTACTTTGGAGTCCCCATATTCATGGCAACTGCCATGTTGCCAACATGGGGTTCCACGTTATGTTGGGGGAGGGAAGGTCATTGACTGGCTGCTGTTAAGTAATGTGAAGATGCTAGTAACGAATTTATGTTCCTTAACGGCAACGCAGTTGACGGATGAATCGATACGGGCCCTGAAAAAGGCAGGGAGTCCATCGATCCAGAATTCAGGCGGTCATAAGTCATAAGCGTGGCGTGGCCCCCAACCAAAGCAGGTTGGTTTAGGGTCTGGGGTCATGGAAAGGAATCATGGATAGTGTAGCATCGGATAATATAGCATGGTATAGTACAGTTCCAGCATTTCTCAGGAACCCTAGCCTAGACAACTAAACCCCTGCCTATATAACCCATTTTTGTAGTTTCCATTTTCTTTTCCATTTTCCCCATATGAACTCAATATAACCAACCTGGCCAGATGAATGTTCAACAGGCTTCTGCCGGGAAGGTTCGAGCTTGAAGCCGTCACAGCCATCCCTGCGGTTAGGGCTTTAGTGGTATTAGGGTTTTGGGGTTCAGGGTTTTTTTACAACAGTTAGGACTTTTAATGTCTGCCAATGGCATGAGGTTCCTTGCCCCAAATAGAGTCTCGTCGCTCTGTCGGTCCGTCATTGGCTACCCTTCAGCTTCCGCTTCAGCAATGCCGCCCTCGATCTGCTTTTTCACCCCACTCTCTCCCGCTTCAGGCACAGCATCAAGGTTACCAGCAATCCCTTCAGTCTCCGGCGCATGCATGCTCACAGAAACAGCCAACTGCGCAGCAACATCACATCCGAACCCATGTACAGGAACACTCTGTCCAAGCGACACACATCGACCATTCACAGCCACACTCTCCACCATCACTGAGGTAAATATGGTCAACCCCTCCGCCGTCTCAGACAGACATGCTAAGGTTGCTGCGCTGTGCGGACTGGTCCATGCTAAACCAACGCTTTCAGGAGGATCACGAAGAGCCTCCGCCATAATTCGGTCCTCTTCCATCTGTGCTCTCCTAGCCCCTTTGCTGCCAGGCCTGCTTGCCCTTCCTGCACAGAGTTCACGGTAGATGTTCTCATTCTCCGGCTCCGTCGATTGTTCAGGAGTGTCAACATCAACCATTGCCGGCTGCTGGACCATATCTATGGGTTTGGGGGTTTAGAGGTTTAGGGACGACCCCAAAACCACACCTAAGGCAAGCCTTCGCTTGCGTTCCTACGTGAAGACTTATATGAGCAATAGTCGGTGCTCCTTAGAGGGGCTTACATAGGTGACTACAGAAAGGGTTATTGAGGGGGATACTAGGAGCTTAGACTATGGCTCACATGCAATAATGTTAAGCATCTATGCCATATATGCATCTTCATTTGAAGGTCCCTCCATATCCACGCCAAAGTCTGCAGGAATACCACAAGCCTGAAACGCAACGTCCTAGCACGTAAAGCCCTATAAACCCTAAATCCTAAACGGCAATTCAAGAAAGCCCGAACTCCTGGGAGCCGCAAGGCCACTCCGTAAGCCCAGCATCGGGCTATACGTACTGGTGCGTTGTAGGAAATAATGGAATAGAATCCCTATTTAATCCCGTATGATGTATTCCCTTATTCCCTACTAAGCCCCAGTAAGTATGTAGGGATAGTGGGAAATCAAATGAAACCTAGTGGCAAGAGTGTTTTGTTTTGCTCCGCGTGTTGTTTTTGTTCTGCGTGTTTTCTGTTTTTTTGTTATGTGTGTGTTTTTCGGAACAGAAAACATGCACTTGGCTTTTCTTTGCTCCGCGTGCGTTGCGGAGCTTGCGAGAGAGAGAAAAAACAGAGACTTTCTTGAACAATGTAGACTCAAATAGCGTTTTTTTACAATAAAATGTCAGGCTTTCTGTCAAAAACCTATGTAATACCTACATTTGCCAAGCAAATCTCTGTCTTTCTATAGAAACTATGCAAGGCATGCGGAGCAAAACGAAAAACACGCCCTCTGTGTCTGTGTGTGTGTGTGTGTGTGTGTGTGTGTGTGTGTGGGTGTGTGTGTGTGTGTGTGTGTGCGTGTGTGTGTGTGTGTGTGTGTGTGTTTTTGCTCCGTGTGCGCTCCCCCGCGCGCTCACTCACTGACTCACTCGCTTGCCCTTGGCTCTTTGGTGGAAATCTCCATTTGAAGCAAAATCTCTGTTCTCCAGAAAACGATGCAGCGCATGCAGAGCAAACAAACACACACGTCCTGGGCGTTTCTTTTTTTCGCCGCATGCGTTATAGGGTTTGCGAGAAAAACCAAAGACTTTTGAAACATGTAGACGCAAATAGGTATTTTACAGTAAAATGCTTGATTTTCTGTAAAAGAAAACCCTATGAAAACCTACATTTGAGAACCAAAAATAGGAAAAACACTCATGACACAAAACCACACAGAGCAAAAACAAAAACAACACTCGTTCCGAAACCTACTACAGATACATACATGTACATAAAGGTTAGTATGGTTTTATAGAGATATCTGGAAATAATCAAGAACCAAATGGAAACTATGATCAGACACAGCTTCTCGAATCTTGTACTGTAACGTTGGGATATGTGTGGATAATGGAGCGTCAGTATCACATGGACAAAGGAAATGGACATTTCTGCGTGCAGCGTTGTCTAAGGATTGTGCTAGGATAGCACCGCAACAGTCTGGGAACGCCACTTAGGAAACGGAGGAACGAAATGTATGGGAGCTCTTCCTGGGAGCTACATAGGGGCTACTTTTGAAATCCAATCCCTACTAGGTACAAGCAAGCTATGTAAAAGATGAGATGACAACTGCTGTCTGGTCCATGTACCCTAAACACTACTAAGCCCCAGGACCAATGTGCTGCACCGAACGTTGGACCCTAAGCCCTAGACCCCGAAGCCCTGTACCGTAAATGCCCTCACTAAATGATTCTAGAACCGGTTCAGGGTCCTTATTGCAGGGGCTGGGGTGGCCAGAAACACCTGATTAAACCCCTAAACCCTGAACCCTAAATCCTGAACCCTAAACCTGAACCATAAATCCTAAACCCTAAATCCTAAATTCTAAACCCTAAACCCTAAACCTGAACCATGAATCCTAAATCCTAAACCCTATCTGAGGGTCAGGCTTTGGCTTCGCCTTTTCTTCTATGTCTGCAATGGGCTTCAATGAGTCTGGCCTTGTCAGGGAAAGGAGGAGTGGGGGGAATGGTTTAGGGTTTAGGGTTTAGGGTGGGTTTAGGGTTTAGGGTTTAGGGTGGGTTTAGGGTTTAGGGTTTAGGGCTACTCAGAGTAGCCCCTAAGGTCCCCTTAAAGGGGTTTAAAAGTCTTATTTAGGGGTTATATCATAGGGTTCAGGGTTTAGGGTTTCCCAAAAATTAGGGGTACGTTTTTGGGGTCATGTATGATAATGACTATAACATTTGGGAATAGATGTTGGGGTATGTTCCTTCCTTCAATCTTGGCTACCCAGGAGGAAACTTTGAAGGTCAGGATTAGGGCGGGGATCTTCGACGGATCAGGAAAGCTTATGGGACCTAGGCCTTCACGTCGCAAGGCCGAGGGCGCTGGAATTCTGAAACCGTAAAAGCAGACAAGTCTTGTCGTTGATGAACCCCATTTGGTTTCTTTGCATCTGCTGTGCCCAGAGTTCAGGGCATGCAGAATACCCCGATGAGCACTACTGTGGAGCAAAAATCAAAAATCTACGGATCCTACAGCAACCCCTGAAGCCCTAAATCCCATAAACCTAAACCCATCGTTGAATTCTTGATGCACCACCCATGGCCAGGCGACTTATCAGAGTTGCGCTGTGAGGCTTCCTTCACCACCTCATCCTTCACAACCTCGCTTCGCCGTTATCTAGGAGTTAGATAAGGACTATTAGGGTTTAGGGTTGGATTATGTAAGGAGTATAGAGGGATTGTATAAGGATTATGTAAGGGTTACATAAGGCCTGTGTATAGGGGTTATATACGGATTATATAAAGGTGTATAAAGGTTATCTAGGGGTGGTATAAGGGCTTTCTAAGGTTATATGGGGATTATATAAGGGTTGTATAGGGGTTACATATGGACTACACAAGGGCCATATTGGGATTACATACGGGATTCTATGAGGATTAGATAGGGATTGTATGGGGTTTATATAGGGATATATAGTGGGAGGATCCTAGGAAGGTCGAGCGCGGATGTAAGTCTGCCATGTCGTACGCGGGCCTTTTGGGGGGCTGCCTACATGGGGAATAAACATCTTCTACAATGTCGCCCCTTGCAAATTGCAAAGCCATTCGTATAGTTTGCATTGGGCTAGAATCTGAAGCAATGGGAACAGCCACTAGCAGCAACAACTCCGAGTATAAGCCCAAAATCGCTCTTGAACAGAGGTCGCTATACATTGCAAGCACTACGTGCTCTATCAAGGACTGTGTCTTGGAGACTATGTCTGTTGCGCCAGACGGGTCTTTAGCTCGCAGTTTTGCCATTCCAGCTTGGGCTGACATAGCTTTGGGGAAGTTCCCCCTTACAGTAACTGTTCAAGGGTTCTTATTAAGGGCCTTGATTGTAACTCCTAATTACCCAGTGTGGTACCTGTTGCTGTGAGCGGGCAATACCCAACATAGCCCAGTCAAGTCTCCTTCCTGAGCTGATTACATGACTTCCCCTAATGGCAATATTTCCTACTTGTTATATCATATAAACTATAAACTGTTAACCCTCACCCCCGAGGGATATACGTATTAACTATAAGGTTCTGTTGTGATCCTAAGTGAAAACACTAGGTGGACCCCCCGCCAACTCATAGTGACTATACTGTAAGGGATGATAAGGATTATGTTGGGGTCCTCGTATATTCCTAGTATATCGCTATGACAGGGTGGGGGGTCCTCCTAAACTCTACAAGGGAGTTCTGCAAACCAAAAATAGGAGACATGGGCAAAACATGCTCTTCACCAATTCTGACCGCTTCGCCTCCTCTGCGTGGACTTTCACTTCGCCCTGACATTGTTGAGCGCAGGTGCTTTAGGGTTCTTAGGTCCAGTGAAAGCCACCCCATAGTGTGACCGTACAAAGCATCTCAACTTAATCTCAATGGACCATGCTGGCTTTTCTGTTGCGATTTGTCTATATTAGGAGGTACAGATTAGCTGTTAGGTCGTGTAGAGTGGCCTGAAGGACGAACTAAGGATAAGCCGTTGATAAGGACAACCGCAAAACCTGAAACACAACTCCGCTCCCACTGATGCTGTTTGAACTAGAACTAGACAAGGGCTCAAAAGCACCACGACGCCGATGCAGCGGAGAATTGATTGTTTGCTAGCAAAAACTGACTACTAAAGGCACATGTTGGTGAGCTCAACTGGAAAGGCAAGTGCGTTTACCAGACCATTGGGCAGTTGGGTAGAGACACAAATGTCAGATTAAGCTTGGGGGATCGGTTACAAAACAAAGACTAGATATGAAGAGAACTGACGTACATGTCCTGAGCTTATCCTGCATTGCCTCCCCGATTGTTGATTCCAGAAACCCACCAGGATCTGAAGACCCAACTGCCAGATGACCTGCTTGAGCTTCATCCAGCGGAGGCAAACGCGCAGTTTGCGCTTCGCCTCCAGTGAGATGAAGTGGATGCAAATAAATAGCTTGGGCGAATCTGCATAAGTATCAATAATAATACCCCTCGTTGACGGTATAGTCACTTTGCACTTTGATGCCACCGCAAGCCATCCATGTCTTGCAGGTGCGTCAAGAGCATTTGGCAAACTCTCATCAACATGTTGCCGCACAGGCCTGACAAAATTCCTGGTCCTCCTAGATGTGCACCCAAGCCCACAAGTTTGAGAAACCACCGCTATTAGTCCTATTCAAACGCCAACCATGCATGGAGGCCCTCTGGAGCGTCTCGTACCGGCGAAGTTGCAACTCCTGCAGAGAAGGGCGCATTTGGGATAGGGCGTTCTCCAAACAATGGCTGCCTTTCTGAGGGTTCTAATGACAAGGACTACACATGTTTTGTGTATAACAAAGGTGTGTGAAGAAGGCTCAAAGGTCTGCATGGTTTGGATGGTCTGAAATTGTCTGTAATGTCACAATGGGCGACAATTGCGCAGTCGCCATGGTCAAAATGGCGTGTGGATGTTCATACTGAAGCAGCTGAAGCAACAATGTTGATCATATCAACTATCGCGGTGGCACCAATTCCCTGACCCACGCCACAAATGTGTCCGATACGGGCTCAAGAGTAGAGAGAGACCGTTCCAGCAATAAAAAGCATGAGTTCTGAGGATTCGGCTGCAATGTCGATGTCCAGCTCTTGGACCCCCTCAGGCTTTGTAAAGCCGGCAGGGAACCTCCAGGCTTCTGGATTGAGGGTGAGTATATAGGATCTGGGGATTTCTTGCGTCTTGCACAGATTCATCAAGAGAAGCAACTGTCCTAAAGCTCTGGCATTACTTCCACACGCTCAATCATCAGGTTGACCCGGAATCTTTGACCAACATCCAAAACTGCATTCCGTTGGAATGGAACTTGCTTGGATCATTCCTGTGGGTGCCATATGATGCCTTGGTAGGTAGAGCTTTGGTACACATCCCTAAACCCTAAACGATAAAAACAAAAAAGAAAGCACAGCAAGAGGCGAGTGGGGGCATTACGGAACACTGAATCTCCGCTTCTTTGTTGTATGGTGGGGTGGGGGGGGGGGTTACGCTAGATTTTGTAGTTTCCATAAATAGGGGATCTGGACCCCAAACATATGATATAATTTCTATCAATCAAGGGGACGCCCAGAAAGAACAGCAAGTTTGGGAAACCCTAAAACTATGCAACCTTATGTAACCCCCATAAAACCGTTCCCCTTTAGAGGTACCTCGATTTTTGGGAAACCCCCGTCTGTAGCCCCTGGCTACTTTGGACTTCAGGGCTAGAAGCTGGGAGCTTCAGAGGCCGACGTGGGCTATGTTTTGGGATTGACTTGTGGGCTTCCCAAAAATTAAGGGTACCGTTTGAGGGTCCCAATAATAAGCCCTATTTTGGGAACATACCATTTGGAGGTAAGCAATTACAACGGCTCTGTGCGTTTCTGGCTGATAGATGACGGTCGGACATGGAGAGCAGGTCTTTCTGACCCACCATTGTAAACAAGCATTTGATTGGCTATCATCCTCAGCTCCTCACAACCCAAAGTGCCAAGCATCTCCATTGCACTGTTTGCACCACTTTGTACTATTCTGGCCCATTATGTAGGGAGTTTCTGCTCCCTGGCGGTGCTCGAGATTAGGTTTGGAATCTCCAGGAGCTCCCCAAGGCAAATCTTTGCAGGCCTCGCGGCGTCACCTTCCCATGCAAAACGGTAACGTATATAGTTCCCCTTCCGTAAGTAGAATTTGGAATTCCTCTATCACAAAAAGTGATCCCTATATACCCCACATTGTATCTACTTAAGGGGGACGATGAGCACCGGAAAAGCCTAGCCGTCTGTTTGGTTGTTTTTTTGCAGAACCCGATGAGCTAACCCTAAATCCTAAACCGAGCTTAGGCGTGAGCCCTTAGAGTTGAAATATGCCGGCGCTCTACGCTGCAGACCTTGCAGGGTCCATAAGAAAGTCTTGAAGATACCCCTACGGCCAACCCCCCCCCCCCAAAGCCTCTTCGAACCCTTCGAATGCCCCTCCTTTCTACCCAGACTTCTGGGGGGGATCTAGAAAGCAGAACATCTCATATGGACTCATATGGTACTCTATGCTACTACAGGATAACTTCTAGGCACCCTTTCGGGTGATCTACTTTCTAGATCCCCCCAAGGTCAGAGTAAGAACTTGGTTTGGCTGAGTGTAAGACCTGAATCTGCCATTCAAGCCCCCCAAAAATAGTAGTGAGAATGACCATGGCCGCAATAACACCAGTAATACGTAGTATAATACGTAGTAATAGCAAGAAAATAGAATTAAGAATCGGAGTAATAATCGTTGTGGTTTAGGTTTAGGGTTTAGGGCTGTCCACTGGGGGTGGTTGGCAATACAGGCTTTGGGGGTAAGCTGGCGAATCACATGGAAAAGAACGTGGAAAATGGGGTGGACAAGAAAATGGAAAATGAAATGGAAGGTTGAATGGAACATTGATGATTTGGTCTTAGGGATTAGGATTTAAACCCTAAACCCTAAACTAAACAAGGAGCCAACAGCATCTCCAGGACGTCCCTACAAAATCCTGTACAGCCCTCCGTTGCGCCTGTTGCAGAGCTCTTCTATTTGCTCAATCCTTAGTCCGACTGATTTAGCATCATCCCCCCGTTTCACCCAAGGTATGCCCCTCAGGTAGAATATGACGGATGCTGGGGCTGTATAACTGGCATCCCTAAACCCTTAAGCTTGTTTTGCCTAAGGCAAAAAAAAAAGATGTAGGCGTACCTTCCAAGGAATCCTACATCTGCAGCATATCAAGTTAGATTGGGACATCTGGTACTTTCCATAAGTAGGGGACCTCAGCATAAGCCCCCAATATACTATTAGGAAATATGGGGAACCCTAGAAGCAGATTCATATTTTTCGGAGACCCCATATGAGCTATAGTCTAAACTCCTAATATCCCCCTTAATAAATCTTTATAGTAGTCCCTATGTATAACCCCCTTCAAGGAGTTTAGACCATAGCTCATATCTTGTCGTTGGCTCACGGGCTTTTAGCCGAGGACTCGTAACATTGAGAACCTGACCCATTGGGGATCTGCTACTTCGACACATCTCTGCCAGCGCCGCTTTTACCAGAAGCGGCAATGATGGCACTAGGAACTATAAGTTTTGGGTTAAGGACAAACACGCGTCAGGGTTTACGACTTTTGGGCCCTCCGGTCCAAAACAATGACTGTGCACTTCTCCAGCCTGGCGCAAGTCACCACAAGCAAGCCATAATGATCATGAAGCAATTCGGGTCCCCAAGCCAAACCTGGAAACTTCATAACCAATATGCCCCTCCTGGGTGAAGAACACCCAAATTGTGACCCAGTATGTGATACCCTAGTTTGCCTTTAGATTTCCTTTCTAAAGAACAGTGGTGTTTCGAGGTATGCCTACCTCGCCCCTTTGCCCTCAATCCACGTATAAACTCACTGTTCATGTCATTCTCTGCCACTTTCCATTTGATTCTCCAAGATCCCTATGCCCTAAACCCTAGATCCCGAACCCTGAAACCTAAATGCTAAACCTTAGATCCCAAACCCTAGGCTGAACATCAAATGGCAAACAGGCGTCAGCTTCGCTGAAGGCCTCAGGCTAGCAGTGGTTTAGGGGGTCGTATCGGCAATTTTTTTGAGAACATGAAGGGAGATGTAGGAATAGAGGGTTTATGGCATTGCTGATCGTTCCAAAGGAATGGGGGCATGGGAAGCTGGACGGAAAAGGTCTGGGGTTTGGCTATGTATAGACTAGGGCCTAAGGCCTAAGGTCTGTTCTGATATAGTTGGTTCATGTTGGTTCCATCATTACTACGTGTAAGGGATGCATTCCTCCATTCGTTTAAACACTGGCATTGCGGATTCAGCTTCTTATTTTCCTACTAGCTACCAGCAAGTGTGGGGTTCATGTGGGGCTCTGGGTCATGCTTCATAGGGCACGGATTTGGAAATATGTTTGGGGCTTGGTCATGTCGGCTGCTTGAGCGTTTAGGGTTCATCGAGCTCAGGCGCTGTTCAAGGTGCTGATCTCTCTGGATCCAGCTAGCTCAAAACCTACTGGCTCATGGCAGATTATGGGTGGACAAGTTTTCGTTTCGCTGTTTATTGGTTCGGTGCTTCGATCTTCAGTTTTTTTTTTTGGTCAGATTTGCGCAGGGCAAGTTCTACAGACACCAAGCCTCCGATCTCCACACACGCGCTAGGAGTGGTTTTGTGTGAACATCTCTTCATGAAGAGAAGCATGCTCATGTGATATGTGGAATGGAAAATGAGTGCGCCGTGCTGTGCAAATTGACTGCTGACTCAGATCCTGCAAGCCCGTCAGCCTGTCGAGCCCCTCGTCCCCAAAAAGCTTGCAGAACTCAGATACATCACAGATCAGGGCTCTAATTTCAGGAGCGTCTGTTTGGAGATTCGTGACTTCAAGAACAGGCTCTTCTCAACCCCTTAAGCTCCACGAAGTCCCGGAGGAGCGTCTCAAAAGAATCCCGCAGTGGTCGGGGTGAAGAAAGAATGGATCTAGCAACGAACTTCCACACGCACTCCGATTCCACTATGAACTCAGCTAAAACACTCCAGGGAGACCTACCTTGTAGATCTGCATGGGAGTCTGGATCCTTGCGCGCAGCCAGGCTGCGGGAACCAGGCCGCCAACTGCTTTTGTCCCTGGGGCGAGAATCCTTGGGAAAGCCAACAAGAATGATGTCTTGGCTTTCACCCTCCGCTATGTTCGTTTGGGGTAAGGGTCCGGAGCTGGGGCTCAGGCTTCTGCACATAGACTTCAAGATGCGAATCTTACGGCAAACCAAATTTCTCATGTGGCAAGTTCTAAAAACGGCCACCTTGTGTAAGGATGCTTCTCGGCAGGTGTCCCCAAAGTGATTGCACCTGTGAAAAGACTCGCCTGACTCTTGCTCCCTGCTGGAGAGTGCCCTACGAGATGGCTATGTAGGGAGTGGGCCTCCCTTAAGGCAGGGAGGGGTGATGCTATCAAGCGTCTCAAGCTTTGGAAGACTTCTCGCCAGCCTGATCGCGGGCAACGCGGCAATGGGGTAGTCTTGTGCTTATGTAGGTGGGACTTCAAACTTTCCTGAGCCTGGTGCATGTTGCCTATATCTTCTACAGTCTATCTACTGGCGGACATTCCAAAGTTATCGAGCACCCCAAGACAAATCTACAGAACAGAGCCCGAGGCGATAGCCAACCGAAAGCTTGAGTTAGAAGTTGTGTGGTAAGCTGAGCCATGAAGAGATGTCCATCTATGGCTTTCTATCTGGGATAGACACTAACGATTAGTTGAATCGTTCTCAGTAGCTCGGGCACCCACAGTAGCACCAAGCACTTTACAACCCTTGTCATGCCAACATGTGTAGCACTCTCACAAAGGCCTGATGTAAGAACTCTGGGTCTTAGGTTTACATGTTTATTGGGTTTTGGGGTTTGGGGCTCTGTCTTGGTCAACGTCTTGGACACTGAAGCTTACACCGCAAAACCTACAAGCCTTGCTCTAGACATCCAAACACTGGCCTGACAGTCCTCATAGCTGAGTATTGCTGTCAAGACTGTTTTTGAAAAACGGCAAGACTAGATTAGAAAAGACGCAAGACGTGAAAGCAGAATCCCTGACAAAAAAATGCAGGAGCGCCTTTGATTATCCTATGTCATGCTATCCTATGTCATGCTTGCGCAAAAATGAATGAGTAGCCTCTCATGTCCTGCAACAGAAGCCCGCGCCTTTATCGCATATCACCCACTTCGGGTTCCTGATCAGGAGGGGTGATTCTGGACGTCCGAGCCCAACGCTAACCCTCTGGGAAACACCATTACTGGCTTGGATCCATAGAGCCATAGCGGCTGCTCCAGGATGATGTCTCTTCCAGAACAAACGACGCGCTACCAGGTGCAACAGAACTACAATGCCAAAAAGGATGTTTCAAAGTATGGCATGGATCTCTACCTTCACGAGCTTGGGAAAGCAGCCTATGATTCAGCGGGCTATGCTGCGGACCCCAACCCACAGTGGCATTCATGGAAATCGTGAGGCTTGGATGTTTTCGTTTGGCTCCAGAACATCGGGGCTGCCTCGTGACGTGTCTCATGAAGGGGCGGGCAGGCCCAAAGACATCCAAATGTTTGAACTCAATCTCATTGCTTTGGCCAAACATCCTCAACCATAGCCAAAATGCTTGCTCTTTGCATGTTGTTTCCGGGTTGGCTTTCGCACGTGCTGCTGGCAGAAGTTCATCTACGCGGTGAGTCCTGCTTCATCCATATGAGCTATAGTCAATACTCCCTAGAGGGGGTTCTAGAGGGGTTATATAGGGGAGTATGATAGGGGTTATGAAGGGCGGTGCTAAGAGCGTAGACTATTGCTCATATGACCTGGTTGTCCCCGCCAGGATCTTAAAGCGTGATCGGCTTGTGTACTTGCACAGGCTCCTTGCATTCAATCGCTGGTATCCTGTAGCCAGAAAACGCGGGCCCTGCTCCAACTCTACTTCCCCTTGTCCAGATCACAAACAAGTCTGCGTGCAGTTGGGCGGCAAGGGGAAGCTATAGCCCCGTTGCACGCAGTCGAGCAGAAACTCCCGTAACTCTGGCTCGCTAAGATACCTTCGCAGGAGGTGTGCAAAGGGTTGCGCAAAAGGCTGCGAACAGCTAGGCTCAGAAAGCTCTGTTGTTACCTTTCTCTGGAGGTCAGGGTGAGCCCTCTCAGACGCAAACCCTCGCAAACCAAGCGAATTGACAGTTCCAGGAACCTTCCTGCGCCAAATACATTTGAAAGGGCCCCAGTACCTAGCAATCAGTCATTGGGAGCTTACCCCTTCACATCGTAGCGCGGCGGTTGCAGACTCAAAACTAAAATGATTCTCACTTGGAGGCCTCTTTGAACAGGGTCTCTGTGGTATAGGAGAAGCATTTAGGATCTTCACTACAGAATAGAGGGGGTTTCCTTTGGAGACCGCGAACCAGATTAAGCACCAAAATGTACAACATGTTTGCCGTCTCCCCAAACGGAAACCCCCACACAAAGACACTAACCACAAAATTCAGGGAATCCTGTGTATACGCCCACCAAAACCCAAACAAATTCCTACCTCAAATCTGAAGAGACAGGGACAGAAGCACTGCGACAAAAGGGTGTCATTACCATAATATCCTAAACCCTAAACCCCTAACCCCGCCCTAAAACCTTATAATAGTATGGTTAAAACAAAAGGTACCTTAACAGCAGCCCAGGCGAGGCAACAAAAAGGTCAGCCGAGCAGCTGCCAGGGTTGCTCCGGTCCAAAGCTGGGCCTCGGAGAAGAACAAAGTGACTACACCTGAATAAGGGAATATGTATCTGTGCATGCATATATATATCCATATGTATATATCTAGGATTTAGGGTTGTGGGATTTAGGGTGTAGAGCTCAGGGTGTAGGGTTTAGGGTTCAGCTTGTAGGGTTGGGTCCTGACCCGGTCTCGTTAACAGCCCATAACGATTATCCAGCTGTTAACGATTCGGGGCAGTGTCCAAGTGTTATGAGTTAAGAGGTTTGACGGGAGAACAGATATGGAAGTAATCAACATCACAAGGATTGCTTGGGAAAAAAACATGGGATTTATCTTTAACATCGTTGATATGGGCATGTATCCTCCTTCTTGGCAGTATAAGCTAGTAGGAGTAGCAGCTGTGATAGTAAGCGTAGTTCTGGTAGTGATTGTGACGGCAGCAGCTTGTATTGGTCGTAAAGTTGGATGGAAGGGGGCTTAAGCGTCTCGACTTTCTCTAGTGCAGGGGAGTCCCAATGAGGTCTACTTATCCCTTAAACCCTATAACCCAAGTCCAAGAAGCCATACCACCAGGAATTCCTCATCCAGGTCCTGGGGAAAGTAGAAGTTGAAGCCTCAGCTCAGAATTTGGGGTTCACTAGGCAGGTTTGGGGACCCCATAGAGTTTTTTGGGTTCTTAGGGGTGATAGAGGGATTATGTAGGGATTAAGATCAGATGGATTAAGGGTAATGAGTCAAATGTGTTTGAACCTACCCCTGTTCAGGGCTCTCTCAGCTTCGGAGTTCGCATGGCTTAGGATTCTAGCCTTGATTTTTCGGTCATGACAGGCTCCTCATATTGTGTATTGGTTTTTGTTTGTTTGTTTCTTTGTTTGTTTGCTTGTTTGTTTGTTTGTGCAACGGGTTTGTCCAGGAATTGCGGCCGATGCTACAAGCCAACGAACAAACTGCTCTTGCTCTATACTGCAGACTCTAGTATGTATGTATGTATGTATGTACGTATGTATGTATGTAGCTATTATGCTTGCATGCATGCATGCATGCATGCATGCATGTATGTATGTATGTATGGATGGACATACATTGACGTATGGTCACAACTTTTGCTGCTGTCCAGAGGTTACTCGTCTTGATGCCAGCAATTATATTCGTAAGCACATTTCATTTCCTGGTCACAGCAGGAACATGCTGGAACTCTCAGCTGCGGAGCACTCCGCACCGTGTCGCACGGCGCCCAAAAGGCCCATCCTTGCTGCTGATACTCAGAACCCTGTTCCACGTTCGTATACTACCCATCATTCTCCCAAAAAATACTTAGGGCGTGCAGGATGTTTCGTATGAACCATATGGCAGCAGCCTTCGCAATGCAGCAGATGTGGGGTAGGAAACAAGGGCGATGTGTTTAGTGCTTGGTGTCGAGGAGCTTACGATTGTAGGGTTAAGAGTGGTCTGAGGCGCAGAGTAGCATGAGATTTGCAGACAAGGCTCTTGCTTTCAGGGGCAGCGAAAATGACAAGGCAAAACAAAAACTGCTCGCATACACTGGAAGGAGATGTTCCTCGCCCCTCCTTCTCATGAGTCCTGACCTTCGCTCCGGAACCTTCAAGTCTACACGAAGTGTCAAAAAATCCAAACTCCAGAACAGTCATCTTCGGTGCATGCTACGAGCAAACATGTGGAGCACAATCGTGAGCACCCCCCAAAATGCATTTGACAGGAATCCAGCCTAGGAATTCTTATGCTAATGCTCAGGCCCAGTGTCGCCACAACCAGCTGCTCCACGATGCTGTAGGAGGTTGGATCACCAAATCCAAACCTCGCTTGTATCGCTACAAATGTCCTTAACTCATCACTACAATATATGGTACTTTCCCAAAATAGGGGGACCCCAGTGTAGACCCCAAAATACTATAATCCTTATAATGGGGACCCCCAAAACCCAAAACCCTAAACCCAAAAGGGTACCCCTAATTTTGGGAAACCCCCATATTCAGAGGCGCATAGCCCGACACAGTGGCCCGACTTTCCGTAAAGATGGGGTTTATTTAATGTACTTTTGGGGCTTAGGGTTTAGGGTTTAGGGCTTAGGGTTTAGGGTTTAAGGTTGTACATAAACTGCTGCTAAACGCCCGCAGATTGCACACCCAAACTCTATGCCCTTAAAAAAAATAGCGATGCAGCACCAGCACAGTACACGATGCACATGCACGCAAGGAGCCTGGGAATCTCGAGATGAAAGCCGGCGTCCGACTCACGCTTCAGGATTTCCTTCGTCCGGTGCGGGTAACAAGCTAAGGAGCTTCAAATTGGCCGCATGCAAAGTCTGAAGTTTTGGGGGGAGGGGGGGGGTACTTGAAGTGCAGGGCATTGCCTGTTCAATATAACCCTATTATAACCCCAATATAACCGTAATATACCATAGTAGTTTCCATGTTCTTTTCCACTATCCCTAATATAAAGCAACAGCAGCTACTTTCGACGCTGGTGCTTGGAATGCATCTAAAAACTTGTGAGCTCGCGCGTTTGTAACAAACATTAAGGCAGGGCACCAGCTCATGTTCTGTGCTAGCTACAGGTGTATGAATACTTAATGCCAGGGCCTAGATGGTTAGAATGAGGTGGTGGGGCGGGAAATTGTGCAATACTGGACAAGGATTCTGAGGTAGTAATATTGGCAGCTATTCAGGCTTCGGACTACACTTAAACAGACTAATCTTCTGAGGGCACCACATGCCCGACTTCCAGAGTGCATATTCATCAATTGGTAGTTGGCGCCCCCTTTACAACATACCTCCTGAAAATCTGTACTCGTAGGACCCTCCCCGGTTCTTTGGAAACCCCCATATTGTGGGCTTTCGCACTACGGTATACAGACCTGCCAAGCCACCAGCCAGCGAGACATCCATCCTGACAGCGCGCGCGGTCTAATGAAACAAGGGTTTAGGGGCTCGAGGTTTCAGGTTCTAGGGCTCATAGGGTTTAAGCTCTCATGCTGTGGAGGATTTTCCAAGGCACTTGAAGATTGATAGGCGTTAGCGAGTGTCCGGTTCTCATCAGACCCTACAGGTAGGTGTGAAGAACTCCACGCGCCCCAAACTAAGCCTCTAACCAAGCTCCTTTGGTGTACATGCTGTATACAGCAGTTCTAGGATGGCAGTTCATGGAACTGTTATCAACCCTGGTGCCCTGGTGAAGCTGATGGTCGGGATGTGAATGTCCCCCAGCATCGAGAAACACCGCGACACCTCGTGTCCCCAGGACCAGTTTTGGTGTGTCTAGATATTATAGTACAGGATCCATGGAGACACCTTCATTCTGGATCCTGCTTGAACTCACAAGCTAGAGCTTCCGTCGCTGGACTCCAAAGCTTAGCCGCTTCTTCAATTCAGGCAGAAAGGTCATGCTTTCTCCTCTGGTAGCTTCGGTCACCTGCTGAACAGACGGACCTGCAACAAGCCTAACGCCCCTGCCCGCACTCTGAACGCGCACACGCTCATCCCTCAATGCTGACAGCCCTCAACCATAATCCCTGCATCCTCATCCATGTACCAGGCCTGAATTGCTAGGATTGGCGAGGATCTCCTCGATGTGCTTGAGACACCATTTCCTGCGCTTCTTGGACACCAGATTGGGGAGTTTGCAGATTGGGTGCGGGAAGCTAGCCCAGGGCAGAAAAAGGTACGCACGTGGCCAAATGACTTCCAACACCTACTGACCTACGTGCCAAAATGCCAGGCATGGTTTTCGGCGAGGGGCATCATGTCCACTTGGTCCGCAGGAAGGGGCTCAAAGCGGATGGCTCCAGCGCCTGGAGGACAAGCAGCTTTTCTTAGGGCTTGGGGATTCGGGGTTGGGAGATCGAATGGCTTGCGGGTACCGAATTTCAGGATGAAGGGGGGTTTATAGTCAAGGGTCTGGGCCGGTACAATACGGGCTGTCAAGTTTTGTGGGGGCGCTGCTGAGTTCGGCTGGGCTCCTCGAAAGAGACGCCCGATGCTCCCTGTTTAATGTAGGAGACAGGGCTGTTGGGCTCATTCGGGGGATTCCGGAAATAATGGGAACTTGTGGGGAGCATCCAAAAGAAGGATTAGTATATATTGAAGTCTATTTGGGGCCCTATTCATGGAATTTTCAGGACCATTTCTGCTAGGCAATGCTCGGCATTATCGGGGCCCTCTGATTTTTTTGCAGTCGTGCAGCAGCCCAGCATGAATGCGTCGAAGTCAGATACCACGGGCTTCACCTGGCACTAAGGCAGTGTGAGCCAAGAGTTCCGGAGTCCGGCTAGTATTCCTGTCCAAAATCTGGTGGTGTGTGGTTTCCCATGCTATAGTCCTTATTATGGGGACCTGCGAAAAGGTACCCTAATTGTCGGAATCCTCCACTTCTCAACACCACACCCTTCTAGCCGTGCTGGCCAAAAACCCATGCCCTCTGAGTCAAAGTGTTCGCCTTCTCCTCCTCGTATGCCATGAGAAGGCTCAGCGGGTTCATGGGGTCCTCAGGGGCAAGCCAACATCTTGAATAATACAAGGGTACAGCATCAGGAATGTGAAAGATGTCCCTACCCCCTGAGGCCACATTTCCATGTCCCTGAGGATGCGGAAGCGACAGTTCTTTCAGCATCATGTACATGTCAGAATCTGGCGTTTCTAGTGTTCTGTCTTCCGTCAACGTCTGGAAGCAACCATCGGCAGCCACTTTGTGAAATTGGGCGAGCACTCGTACATGGGTCACCTGATGACGGATCAACTGCGGGCGGTGACCCCCTTTGAGGCTGTAGCTGGATGAATCCCTGGTAGCCCAGCCCTCCGAAGTCCGAAAGAACAAGCCCAGGATGCCCCACTCCCACATCCAAGCACTGCATCAGAGCCTGAGTTCCAAAAAACCAAGGTCTTAAGAATTATTGTCCCAACATCCGCTACTAGGGCCAAAGCACCCGCTGCTAGGGGTCATAGGTCCCCAACTGGGGGTACTGGGCAGGTTTTGGCAAACTTTTCTCAAGGCCTGACCGCTCAAGCTTTACCTGCGCCAGAGACTAGCTTTGAAAGTATAAACCCTCTGCCTCAACATTGCAAAGCCTGGGGAATGCAAGGGATGGAGTATCGAGATTTACGGTGTGTTTCAGTAAATCAGGGGTATCATGAGGGGGGTCTCTGTATGATAAGGATTATACTGCCGGTTGTTGGGGGTGATATAGGGGCACCAACTTTTGGCAAACTACCATGCAAGAGGAATGAAAAAGAACATGAAAGCTGGGAGCAATTATAGCGTTAGTGATATTGCAAGGTCCTCCACGTCACTCTGCCACATCACAGCCCGCGGGGAGTTGTTGAGATCCCCTGACAGGGAAATTATGACTAAGGTTTAGGGTTTGGGGCTTAGGGAGACCATGACATCTGGCCAAACACTCAGAGGGAAGAGCTCTAAACCCTAAACCTAAAACCCCAAGCCTTGAACCCCAAACCCAAGCCAAAGAGATCCATGGCAGATCTGCGAAAACTTTCAACTTCAGGTTTTTCCAGCCATTTGGGGAGAACCTGGTAGTGAAAGTCTTCTCCATGTGTAGTCCCGAGCAAGGGATACGCTTTCTGCAGTTAGACGTTGGAGGTTGTGAAAATTCTCGATCCTTCCTGGAGCGTCCTTATGCCAAGGATTGCACTTCGTTTGTTTCGAGAAGATCCCAGAAAGCCCTAATAGGGAAGACGGGCTGTAAGACGAGTCGCAATGGCAAAACGTGACACCAGCAGTGAGCACATCGCTATTAAGAAGTGACCACAACAGCAGCTTCCGATGCCAGGCCTGGCGGTGAATAGCCCACATCGATGTCAGGCTCCACCCACTATCAGTGACCACGATGCACCATGGTGATCATATTGAAGTTCCTAGATCTTCCTAGAATACTACTATCACTGGGCGAGCGCCTAACCTAAAGCAACACTTAAACTGCATAATAGGAGCTCAAATATCAATGTCGTGCCGAGTGGCTCAAAGTGTAGAGGTTCCTCGGCTGTGCAGATATGAGCAGGTGATTGGGCGGTTCGTGCTTGCGGTGGCATAGGAGACGTAGTAGAAAATAAGGGCCACAACATGGCCCCTCTCTACAGGCAGGCTTCGTGCATCAACCGTAACAAAAGAGTCATGATGGGCGCGCCTCCCCAAAGCCATAGCAGGAGGGGTTTGCTGTGTGGAAGAAGACAGGCAAAGCCAGGCGGCATGTCCATGAAGGCAGGTTCCGAAGGTCGCCCAGTCTGCCAGTCTCCGCTTCGGGATATGTCGGGCTGGGCTACATACCTGGGCTGCTCTGACTTGAGGGTGTTTCAACGAGAAAAAAAAGCCCTTCCTTCTACGGAGAGCCCTTCAATGAAACTGTCTTCGTGGTTGACGGAAGAGAAGACAGAGTGTTGATAAGGTTTGGACAAAAGTTGGCTTCACTTCGAATATCGGAAAACCCGACCTGACCCTCGAAGCAAGGTGTTGGGATGACCCATCCTCGAATTTTGGAATCCTTTCGGCCCCGTAAAAAAAAAAAAAAACTCTGAGGACGTCCTGTAAACCTGTGCCATGGCCTTGCAGGACGCCAACCCCTGAAGAAGAGGGCTATTGAGTTTTTAGGATGCCCCTTCCCAGAACCAAACTCTAAGTCAATCGGTTAGATTGCCACAAACGCGAGCAGCCCGTTTCAAGTCCCTTCCAGCAGCCGGACAGTGCTAAGTGGTCGAGCATGTTCCATCTAATGCCTGCCCTAAAATATCAATGGTCGTGAAATATTAATATACCAAATGGTATCATTCTCATAATGCCATATTATATACCCTAGCAATGCGTAAGGCTGTTGTGTTCTAAGCGAAGGAGTCTTGAAGAAGCCTGGAGTGCCTTGCCAAACTTACTTAGACACCAGGGATGGTCTGAGCCAAAGTGGGATCTAGATATGCAATTTACGCAGCATTCCCGGCATAGATACCCAACAAGGACCCTGAACCTCAACCCCGCTAGGGTCTGCATTCCCACCCAAAGCCGCAAGTGAAGTTCTAACAACGGCAGCCTCCTGTGACCCAAGTGAAATCACTAGGGGAAGCAATCAATATTCATTTCGTCATGACCAGCTTAAGACTCAAGGCTGTGCGATCTCCCCCCAAATCTGAAAAAAAACACCGCTTCAACAACATGTCTCCGGTCTTTTGCAACACTAATATATTAGATTCCGTGGACTAGGCTAAAGCTGTAGATTAAGTCAACCTCCTAGTACCCGTAATGATTGGGGATCGACGGCCCCTAACAGTGGGCACTTAGGCCCTGATAGAGGGTAGGTGCAAAGTCTACAAAAGTCATTCCTCATCCCCGTGCGCTTACTGCAGCCCAGTGCGCAGCTCTCTGAAAACGCGCTCCGGCATGTCCTGGCGGCAGAGTCAGGGTCTTGGATGTGGGCTGCGGGGTGCCTGACCTCACTCTTCCTAAAACCCGCCCTAATCCCCAAACCCTAATCCCTAAACCCTAACCCCCAACCCTAATCCCCCAACCCTAATCCCTAAACCCCAAACCCCTCATCCCTAAACTGTAATCCCGAAACCTCAAGCCCTAACCAACAAACCCTAAACCCCCAGTCCAGGCCGAAGGCTTCCGGCTCGTAGAGCTGAAGACTGTGGATGACAGGTTGGTCAACCTGTCGAACTCCCATCTATTGGGGTTATATAGGGATAATGGAAAAGAAAATGGAAACTACTAGATTATGATAGGGTATATATTGGGGTGGGGGGGGGGTACATATTATCCCTTTCCCTAGATTCCTTGTCTTTAGATTCCTGGGCAAAGGGGTTTGGGGTTTCGGGTTTCGCCAGGACCCACCTAGTACCAGTAACTGGGCCTATATAATATGGAGAACCAAATGGAAAGAGCATGGGAAACTG